CTTTACTTTCTTTTGTCATCACATAAAAACGAGGCGTTGAGCGCGGCAGCGMGAAGGGGCCGGGGCTTTTCTCGCCTCCACAAAAGGATTGACACATCCCGGATCGCACACTAAATCACCCGACCCTTGTTGTTCTGTGACCCTAATTAATATTACACCCAGTGACATTTATGTATCAGAGCAATAAGCTAAACAGGAAACAATTTATGTCACCTAAAGCTTTTTAACAAATCGATGCAACTATTTGTAATTGCTTGTTTCACAAGATTAAAAGTACTCAGCCTTGATCTTCGCCCAYGGTTTTGTGGCCAACATGACCTGTGCTTCCGTTGTAAAATAGGAGTGTTGGTGATCAGCACCTATTTCCATCAAGTAATCCATATTGCTAATATTTCTGGAATTTTAATGTAGTTACAATTTATAGCCGATCAAATGTGGTTACCTAAATTGCTGTTGCTAGTAGACAGTTTAACTGTCTTTATTAATTACAGTATAATTTAATGTTTGAGTACAGGCACTTGTGTTGGTCATTTTTACAGCCAAAGCAGTTATGTGCCTTATGACGAACCATTTTAGCATTTTCAATGGAAATTTGCTAATATGATGAGTGATAAAAATGTCAAAYTCTGGTAAATAATGGTTATTGCTTTGGCTGGAATTAATCCTTGAAAGGACGGTTACCTTCAAATTAACATTATAACTTGAAGAAAAAAAATGTTATTCAGGCTTCTGAGAGGCATAAAAAATAGTCACTGGACTCCTCTAAATAAATGCAGACAAAATGGCACAAAAAAAGGGGTTTTTTTTCCTTTTCCTCCAGGTTGACAGAGAAAATTCCTGTGGAATAAATAAGGTGGAGGATTATTTTTTGCTAAATTCAAGGTGATGCTGTTTGCCATTTCCAGCTCATGTTCTTTGAAGATCTCTAACAAAGGTAATAAAATGAGGAAAAAAAAAAAAAGGAAAAAAAAAAAGGCTTTTGCTCCAGGGTTTGGAGAAAAACGAGGTGTGGACACCATGGAGGTGGCAAACACACCTGAGGGCCACGTCCCACCACCTCAGCCACCACAGCTGGGGATGAAGAGCATTCAATGTGCCAGAATTAACCACTGCTGCAYGAGGATGAAAGATAGCCCTGATTAACACACCATTAAACGAACGTTTAACATCATCATTGAAGACTGAGCCTGATTAATAGGTCAAGAAGGGCTAATTGCACCTTGTTGTGAGAAAGGGTGTGGATGCGGGGCTGAACAAGCAGCACCAGGAATTGCCAGTYCCTTAAATTGGCCCAATAATGYGAARTTTGRCAGACTCTGTGAWTTAAATGTCACTGAAGGGATCATCTGCAAGGTGTGCAAGGAACACATGGGCTGCCATGTCCTCCTGGGCCTCCAGCTCCTGAGCTTTTCCCCCTGGGSCAGGAGAAACTCAGAGAAACTGCTCACTGGCTCCAGTTCTCCTTGGAAATTCCTCCGAGATGCATTGCCTCACCACTGCCCATAAAAGTGCTTTTCAGCTGTGGTGGAAAACAGCGTTTCTGACTGGAAAAGGTATTTCCCAGCTGGCTGTTGCTGGTGGAGTAGGAAGGCATTGTGTGATGTTCCGTGATGGAGCAGCCAGGGGGGAGAAATGCGATTAATAATACAAAGATGATACAAAAGGTGGTCAGAGCAAGACTCCATCTGCTGCTCCGGGCAGAACCGACCAGGACAGGAGGGGAAATGATGGTCCTGCTGCTCAGCTCAGTGCCAGCTCCTCAGCACAGGCTGTGKGTGCCACCCACACCAGCAGCTCCCCTTAAACCAGGGCCAGGGGCAGCAGCAAAGGGCAAACACCCCCTTTGGAGCCCCGGATCGTGTTTGAGGTGAGATGCCCAAGGAGGTGAAACACCCAAATCATCTCTGATGGCTTTGTAGCCCTTGACCTGTCTGCTGGTGACCTTTGTGGGGACACAGTGACCTCCAGAGAGGGGCTGAAGGCYCTGCTGGGACTCATCCAGGGACACATTCCCTACCTGGAGCTGCCTCTCCCCATTCCACAGCTCCAGAACACCCCATATCAAACATCAGCCTCTGCCTTAACCCCCTCTGCCTGTGACTGGAAGATTTAATCCTATAAATCCTCTCCAGTTTACTAAAATCTCACTGGTGATGAGAAGTGCAACACACAAACAATCCCAAATTTGGATTATTTTATCCAAATTTTAATTTTGATTGTTAACATCTACCAGTCAATACCATTTGGAGACACACAAATGAGTGTGCAAAGATTTCCCTCCCCCTCCCCCCCAAAAAACAGTTATCTGGTGTAATTTTATGATAGAATATTTTTATAAAATCATTTGTACTAATTTAAGCATTTATCATTATATGCAAAAAGATTTCTTGATGAGAATATTATAGACGGTGCATGTTTTTGACATTAGCATTTTATTTGGATGACTAATCTTGCAGATGTGAAATTTTAATGAATTATTCATGAAAAATCTCTCCTCTGAAATTTCAGTTTGCTGCTAATGCTAGTTATTAAACATTTTATTTTTCTTTACAAAACTTGATGAAGAAAATAAATGTGTGCTTACTGGAAAGAAAAGGAAGGTGGGTTTTTTCCTTTAGTCTGTCTCAGGTGACGGCACCACTTGGGATATTGATCCTCATGGTTTTGTGGCCAGGGGGTTGATCCTGCAAGCCACTTTTTGGCAGGGATGAGGGGCACATTCCCAGCCCTTCCCACCACAGCCAGCAGCCCCATTCCCATCAGGGCACTGCACTGGGAAGGAGCTGCAGGATGAAGACCCCAACCCTTTCCTTTGTGCTTTGAAAGGGTTCAGTGAGAAAGGAAATGCCCTCAAACCCCCTGTGACCCTTAACGGGCAAAACTGATGGACCTACTTGGAAAAGAGCCTGAATTCTTGGAATGATCGTGTCTTCCTCACTTCCAGCTTTCAAACCTCACCCAACTGCCCACACAGACCATCCACGGAACCACCACTAAAATATTTTGTACTCAGATGTGGCTGGGAGAGACCCAAGGTAAGAAATGGGATTTGTCCATCCATGAAGGTGCTGGGACATGGATGAGGCACAATCAGCTGCTCCACGGATCAGGGACCACTGGATGTGACACCAGAACAACAAAACAAGAACTTTGGACATGGCAACTCGCATTACCAGTGTGAACAACCAGCATTTTTATTGCATTTGAGAATGCTATAATGTCAGTAATTAGTACTGACTACACAACATTTTTTATTGTCTGTATCAACAGACATGGAATGATGGAATTACAGTTGATGTAAGGAATGAGTTTCTTTTATGCCTTATCAAAAAAAAAAAAAAAATCTTGTTACTGGCAGCACATACACACGAAGCACCATGCTAACAGTCTGGACTGTACCATTTTCATCAAGGCTTATGGGTAGAAGATACTTGGTTACCTGTTCTGGGCCCATTAAAATGCAGTCCTGAACTGCAAATTCACCTCGCAAGACTAGAATACTAAATGACTTCTGAAACATCTAAAAAAAATCACTCTGAGTTCATTAAACCAAAGGTACCAAAGGATTTCAAAAGAGTTTAAACACGTTTGGTTTTTCTTTTTCCATGCTATAATGAACGTGAGATTACTGGCGATCTGAAAACTACAATAGTTCAAAATTATTTTAAAAAACTTTATATATATATATATTTATGTATGTATATATATAAAATATCTAATGATCTGCAATATCTGTAGAACCAGCATCCCTGCCCTGGTCTCTCCCCAAAGCTGAGCTYCAGGAGAGGGGAGGTGCAGGACCTGCAGCGGGACTCTTGCGAGTGAGAATCAAAAAAAGGTTGTAAATTTTTTTTTTTTTTTTGTGGTCACTTGTTCTACATAAGCCTTGATTTAATTTTATTTTTTATTTCATTTCACTTCTAGTTGAATGCAGAAACCTAACAGGTTTTACATTTACAAACTTTTTTTTTTTTTGTGGACAAGGAAGGCTTTGACTCTCATTCCTGACAGCGATTTACCTGATACATGGTACTACTTTCATAATGTACGCTTTTCTTTGAGAAAAAAAACATGTAACAAATTGTCTTTACATCTTGGCACCTTGTAAAGTTTTTTTTTTGTTTTTTTATACAAAAAGTTCAATAGTTTGACACTCCCCATTATTAATCACTACTTCACTGATAAACTTTGAAAGTGTGACCCTGGAATTCATCATGCAAAATATTTACTGCAGCAGGAGAAAAACATTTTTTTTTTKRAMSGKTTTTTTTTTTTTCCTTTCAAATATATGAACTTTGTTTAAGACAGCCAGAAAAGGCAGTGGTAAGATAACAGAAGGGGTGGGAAAGTATCAAAAAAACCAGCTTAAACACAAAAACTGTACAAAAATGCTTCGATCAATGATAACAGGAGAAAAAAAAAATCTGTCAACTATGTTACAATTTAAAAGCTGAAAAAAAAAGTCAGGGATTTTCTCCCACATGTCAGCAAATGTCATCCAATATTCTTAAAGCAAGGATAACTAAATAAAATACATGTGCAGCGTATTCTGCAATTCCATTACATACAGTAGTTTTTTTTTTTCAAAGCTATTTTTTAGTATAGTTAATATAAAGCAGTTGCACAAAAAGCAAAAGGTGTTTTGACAAACAGGTCTGCATTTATTCCTTTTGAGGAATGATATCTAAAAAAAGGACCTTTCCACCTTTTCCTCCCTCCCCACCCTCCCCCCGAAAGACAAAGGCTCACACAGACACAGTGGGATATATATGTACAACATAATAAACCCCTCCCTAAAGAAGCAACTGTATATCCAAAGGGATACAGAATCAGAATTGTAAAAATCATAGTGAAGTTTGCTTGATGTAAAGCCTGAGATTTTCAGTTGGTTCTTCTGCAAGGCTGCAACACCTGCCAGATATGTTAAACTCTAATTTTTTATTTCTTTTTCTCTTTTTTTCATTTTTTTTATTTTTGCTACAGTCTTTAGACTAAGCATGCAAGACATACAACTAAGTGCAACTGAGTGAAATGTATTTTTTTTTTTTATTTACTCATTCCCTAACAGTTTGGACTGAGGTATGCGTACTAACAGTTTCTCATGCTGTTATCTTTACTCATGTCTAGCTACACATGCTGAGAATGAACTAATCTACCAGATTTTTATCCCCCTTCTGAATACCGAACTAACCAGCAAACCACTCAGTTTCGAAGCACAGGGCTCAATTCTCATGATCCCTGTCTGGCTACCGCCGGCACGTCACGAAGCTGCCTGGATATAATTTAAACCAATAAAATAAAAAAAAAAATTAAAAAATGTTTCCAAATGACCACAGACTGCCCTTTTTTTTCTTTTTTTTTTTTCCTTGTCTTTTTGAAACAGAAAGCAGAGTTGAGTTTTATAAAAGTAACTGCCAATAAAATTTCTTGTACCAAAGCTTATGAGTGGACAGGAGTGTTATTTCCTTATGAAAAATGCTGACCAAAAACTAAACAGAACTGAGCAAATGTGCCAAGATCAACCAAAATTAAAGCAGTCATCCCAGCACAGTCCYGGAACAGAAGTGGCACACAATCTGTAGAACCAAAGACCAAAAAAATTTTTTTTTCTTTTAATTCTAGAAATACCATTATGTCGTCCAGTTAAATTGTGGGAGCTTTTCTGTTCTCTTCTGTGTTTCATTAAACTGTCTCCTTTATCTGATACTCTAATTTTCCACAAAATAATTGTGTCTTTGTTTTCTTCAGCTCCCTTCCCATAGCTCCACCAGTAACACTGATTCCTAGTTTTAGCCTCAAAAGCTCTCCTCAATTCCTCTTTACAGACTTTCATTTTGGTCACTGTAAAGAATTGCAAATAAAAAGTAACAACTTTGGTTCAGACATCTACTTGGCCTTCTAAATTTTCTAGAATAAAGGAGCAGTTTCCCTCTCAGGTTAGCAATAGCCCACATCTTGTCATTTCCCTCTAAATTCTTCARCCTCCTTTGATCAACAATAAGAGGATATTTGGCTTCATAAGATAAAGCATATAACAGAGAACATAATTTACCTTTGTGTAATATCTTTGGTAATTTTAGGAAAAAAAAAAAAGGTACAAAGAAGAATATAAATTAAGCTCTGAAAGGCTTTTTCGAAATAATAAAAAAAGCTACAGTCCTACATAAATARATGAGTGACGGAAAAGTGGTTGCAGAATGAAAATGTTTAGGTGTTTGGTGACTGAGGTTTACTGACCTATCGCAACAGAYTTTGTATGTCGTGTTTGCTTTGCAGAGCTTTGCCTAACAAGCCCCGGCGCCAATTCTCTCCCAACTCTCCCGACTCCTCCGGCGAGGTTTCCATACTGGCTGGTGTAATATTGCATAACAATCCTAACTGCAGTACTGGATTTGCACAGCTGAAAATTAACACTTTAGCATTAGTGGGGCCCCGTTCCTTATTAACTCCCGTAACAGGTTCAATCTGAAATCTAATTTGTATTCAAACAGATTAACGCCACCAAGCAATCCTGAACTCATGTTTTAACCGTGAAACATCACCACGTACAGTAACAATTTAATGAAGTCATCTTTCCAACCACTATTTGCAAATGCAAATGTAAAAAAAAACCAAAAACCAAAAACAGAAAAAAAAAGTTGCAATAATAGATGTTTAGGTGCCCATCTCGGTAATCTCAGATATTCCAGAAAGATTTGTTAACCCATCAGAACTCGTGTTAAACAACCGAGAACCTGCCACTGTACTATTCATTCTCTACTAAAAGCGAACTCTGTTGGTGCTGCATATGTTTCTTTGTGCTGTTCAATTTTGTGGCATTTGCTAATATTCACCGTTGCTGCCAAAAAAAAAAAAAATCAAAAAAATAATCAAAAACCCCAAACAAAACAAGAATATATTAAAAATACTGCTTTGTGGAATGAATCTGTGTTGCTTCCTACAGTGTTTCTATGTTCATCTGTCATTCATTCTCATTCTTGCAGTACTTTGTTCCTCTCTCTCCGTTGGACAACCCTTCCACATGTATCGTGCAGCATTTGGGACCTTTTCAAAAAACAACAACAACAACAAAAAAGGAGACACCAAAATGGAATGTTTTCCATAGCTAAAGAAAACATGGTGGCATCTGAAGGAAACTGGAATGAATGACAGAAAAAACTACAAACAATTCAATGACATTCAGCTTCGTATAATAAAAACACCTATTAACATTCATCACAAAGTACAGAAAACGTTGAAGCCTCCAAGAGGCCCTGGGCCCAGATGAGGCCTGAGGTCAGAACTTAAAATGGTAGAGGAGAAGTGGGGCGGGGGAATAAAAGCAATACATTAAAAAGTTTGGGATAATTTTTTCTTTGAACCCCTCCCCGATATACACGCTCACACGCACACACACATACCCACACACGTGCACACACAGGCCTTCCCCATCCCAAATGGAAGCAAAAAAAAAAAACCAAGAAACCAACGAAAAAAAAAGAAAAAAAAATGGAGTAAAGGCAGTGATAATCAACATGCAGTACTGTGCAAATATGTTGTCCATTGGAATCCTTAAAATCTGGGCAAAGACTTGATCTGCAGTTCAGGTGTACATGCTCAGTTTGATGTCCTCAAGTGTCCAAAATTGGCAGGACCTGCAGTCCACAGCTGGCTGCTAAATGCAAGTGAATCAGTTTAGCAAATTTACAACACTGATGTTGACTGTAAGAGAGGAAAATCCCAAGTACCAAACAAGTCCATCCAATGCACAGAGTACAAATTCCTTTTTTCAACAAAAAGTAGAAAAATCAAAAATACTCCCAAATGGGATACTTGATGGCACTAAGAGTTAACATATTTCATAGTTGTCAAAGTGGACTGAGAATCCTCCAGACTGTACAATAATGGAGAGATTTCACAGCTAAGTTTGACGTGTTCTTCCAATCTTCATTCTCAGGGTAACGATGTCAGACATACTCATTCTATGTCCTCATTTACAGGTTCATCTTCATAATCTCTGTCGTGATCAAAATCTGGACTGTGGTTGGCTGTTGTCACTAAGGATAGCGGGCCTTCATTTTCATCTGGGTCCAATGGTTCTTCTTTGACATGCACAGGGTGCCTGGGAAAACAAAACAACAGGCAATCAGCAAAATGTTTGTTAAAAAAATAGTTTTGACAGTGGTGGGTGGTTTGGGGAGAAAGGCAAGGGAAATTGGGGGCTTCAGACCTGGAGGGCCAGGCCTGAGAACTCCAGGTCACCAAGGAGAAGACCCTCAATGACTGTGCTGGCCACAGGAGCCAAGCCAAGCACAATCTGCCAGGTAACAATCAACAGAACAACAGTAAACAGCCTCAAGCTGCCCCACAGGAGGTTYAGGTTGKGTATTAGGAAWTATTTCTTCACTGAAAGAGTGATCAAACACTGGAACAGGCTGTYCAGGGCACTGATGCAGTCACTGYCCCYGGAAGCAYTCAGGAAACAMGTGGCTGTGGCACTTAAAACAYGGTTTAGTGGTGAGCTTGGCTGTGCTGGGTTAAGGGCTGGACTCGACGATCCTAAAGGGTTTAATGATTCTAGGATTCCACAGAGGCTCTGCCASGCAGGCAGCACTCAACTTCCCCGGGAAAACACTCTGGGAGGAGCACCTCGATAGGGTTTCCATCTTGCAGAGAAAACGCTCTCAGCAGACACATTAAGCTAATATGATGTGGGATAAATCCACGGAGCAGGCAGGAACGGGGAGGCAGCGCCGGCCGAGGGCTCGTCCTCCTCGCCGCGTGCGCAGCGCCGCTCGTTAGCATGCACAACCCRCCACACAACTCTCCAGAGGACGACCCCAAGTGAGGTTCTATCATTAATCAACTTCAAGCAAACACAGCAAAGAGACACCATGATACATGCTTTAAACTCCAAATTAATGCATATTTTTACAAACTGTCAATAAGGGAAGAAAAGCCCTGCCAGGAAACACAAACAGAGAGGAAAAGGCTCGCTCAACACAACAATATGATAAGAAAGCACAGTCCTAACGAGAATAATAACGCTGTCAGCTGTAAACAAGGCAGAACATGATCCCCAGCTCATGGTGGGCACAAGGATGTACTAAAGAGATGAGATCTGCCAAATTTCTCATTACAGCAAAGCACATGAATAACCCGCAGGGGAACGGGGCTTGGTCATTCAAAACGGGTATGATAACAATTGAAAAATGTTGTTCGTAAATCATATTTACAACAAATCCTATACAAATACAAATTACCTTTTTTTTCCCTCTTTTTTTTTTTTTCGTTCGGCAGCTTTTGAAATGTAAAGTAGCCATGTGAGTCAATAGTGTCTTGTTGGTGGGACTTTATAGGAAAGTAGGATTTTATTGACATTACCAAGTATTAATAATGCGACACAGCGATGGAGACCCTGTTTGCTTCCTAAATAATTGATGTTGTAGGCAATCCCTTAAAATAAAGTGTTAATGAGTTCAAGTCCCACTCTGTCTCTCATTGAGTTGATACCCACCTCCAAGACTGTTTTTTCCTCTGTGAAGRCTGATTTAACCCTTTCACATATGCAACATGAAGCACAAACCTTCACTGTAAGAACTTGTTCTCTGCTTGCACAGCTTTGCTTTAAAATGAATGATTTGAACTAGTTGTATTGTATTTTATGTTTTGTGTGGATAGGAATGACAACACTGTTCACATCAGACTGCATGGACAGGCAGCAAAGATAAATCACTGRGCAAGGAAAACGTTCTCAGCACCCACAGAGAGACCAAAGCCAGCCTTGCCTGCTTCAAGTGAGCCAGCTGTACCCTKGTACCCTATTTATTTATTTAGGCTTGAGCCCGGATCAGTTTAGGAAGCATCTAACTTGCTGAMTACAGACAATTCTAACGTGAGCTGYGAATGCCTTTCAAGTCCCTGCATGTTTCAACTTCTCGAGTTGTAAAGTGCTGGATCAATACTTGAGTATGAACTGCACCTTCCAGCTCGTCCAAACGAATGGTGGGGAGAAGACAATGCAGCATCCATGTACACACACCTATTAAAACATCTCTGGGAGCAAAGAGGTTCCTCTGCATGTCATGTTAATTTTTGAAAAAATTACACACTGAGAGCACAGCTCACACAATTTTACCCCAACTAATGAAAAAGGAGGGGTGAAGAAAGGATTGAAGAAGACAAGTCAAGGATCAGAGGTTCAGAACTGGCATAAACATACAAAAAGGTCTCGCAAGAAGATTGTCGCGTGTGAGGTGAGCACGTGCCATCTGTCCCAGCAGCCCGTGGCCCCAGTGAATGTTAAACCATGCTCAATACTCGCAGAACTAGAAAAACTTATATTATGAATAGGTTGTGGGGCCCCTCACTTGGGAGAAAACATGAAATGAAAAACTGAACAAAAAGGGGGAAAGAGCGGATGCACTGAGAGCCCGATAAAGGCTGTGCTACTCAGCCTTTCTGGCAGTGATCTTTTTTCCTGCCGTTTTAATGTCAAAGTCTTGCTTTTTTGCTTTCTGGTTTTGATGCTGCTGCTGGGATTATTTATTTTTTTAAGTATTATTTTTGAAAACACAGAAGGGAAATTTTCAAGGGGAGAGGGAGCACAAGTCACGTGCAGCAGAAAGGCCTTGGTACATGGATTGGAGTTTCTCCAAAGGCTGCCCAGCGTCCCAAAGCATCCCCACCACCTCARGTGCCAGCAGCTTAGACAGGTGCCCACTGTGCTCACAACCACTCAAAGTGCTGCAAAAGCTCATTCAAAGGTCCCCAACCTTTCCAAAGCAAACTCTGCCCCTGCTCTGGTTTTGTTATGAACCAGGTGAAACCAGGTGGTTTTAACTGAGGCTCTCTTTGAGGTTTGGTGTGATTCCCAGAGGTCAAAAACCAAAACCTGAGGTGTGAGAAGCAACAGAAGTTATGAAAAGCTCTGCTCGACCCTGGGTGAGACAAAGCTGCAGAGAGCCACAAAGCCACGGGGAGCAGAGTCACACCAGCCTCCCCCAGCACTTCACGTGTTGCACAAACATCAGACAGCGAGCTTGGCAAAACCCCCATCCCCGAAACGAGGAGGTTATCTGGGTAACACAACCCCAGGGAGAGAGCTGCAAAGAAAACAGCGCCAAAAAAATCCCAACTCCTTGTGCATTCTGTCAGCTGTAACCACAAAATGGCATGTGAGGAGGAAACCTTCCCGAATCTGTGATTTTTCTCAGACATTTCTGAGCAATTGAAATAAATAAGCTTAAATAATCTCAGAGGCAAAAGGAGACTTTTATATCCTCTCAAGTAAATATGAATCTCTATTTACCACTTCACCAAATTCTCAAATTGGGGAAGGAAAACTTTATTCAGAGACTGAGGAATTCAGGCTGCTGAACTACAGAAAAGGTAAATGCTGGGTTAAGCAAAAAGAGAAAAAAAAGGGGGGGGAGGAAAGAAAAGAAAGGGTTTCCCATTTCTGTTTTTACAGCAGCAGAAATTCAGCACATTCCTTTTAAGTAGATGCCTGGGACTCCAGAAGGGGTTAACAATAAATAACCTTGCTGAACACAGATTCCCCTTCTTTTCACATCTGAGTAATTCTTTTGTTTGTCCACTCTGGGAACAGAGGAGTTTTTAATAAAGCTGACTGTTGTTTAAAGCCACTGAGTTCTGGTGGTGCACACAGCATGGAGTAGTTTGCTTTGTGGCTACCTTTGGAGCATATCAGGATGAAAGTGTTATGTCCCCAAGCTGTAATTATGCGACTACTTTCTAGTGTTTCAAAAGGAGGGAGAGAGAAGGGGAAAAAAAAACCACCCTAGCTGTGGTTCAATGTGTCATAAAAAGGAAACGAATGAGCAGTAATAAGACTTCAGCTAAAGTGTTAGACTTCTTAGCTGTCATGTTAACAAGGTCCTTTAAACCTTACAATAAAGTTTAAAGCTTGATTTCTTCTCATAGACTGAAATTGTTTAAAAAACAATTTGCATTATGACAAGGAAATCTGTTCTGAGAAAAAAAAATGAACATGTTGTTAACAAAGCCAGAGCAGGGAAAATAAAAGGTTTCACAGCGTCTGGAAACTCGCTGTTGACTCATGATTTTATTTAGTAAACAGGGAAAACCCTATGACGTGTGAATGGTGCTCTGGCTTTATATCCCTCCAAACTTCTTAGAAACACCATTATAATGGGGAAGCTCCGAGGCTGGCATTGGAACATCACCCGGCCACATTTTACTTAAGCAAAAAGAAATGTTCAGCAGAGAACACATATATTATCAATTCCGAGAAAATGAAAACACTCAGGAAACAATCATTTCCATATTACAACAGAAAATTGGATTTTCTGGTGAATAATGAAAATGAGGCATCACTCCCCCCGACCTCCTCTCTCTCCACTATTTGTTCTGTGCCCCTCACCTTGGTATCAGTGTGCTAAGAGATGATTATTAAGTGCAACAAAGGCCACAGCTATGCACAGTTCTGGAAGATGTCCTAGCCTGTTTCAACTCGGTTATTTTTCCCTCCTCTCAATCTCTTCAAAGACAAGGAAACCTTAGGTGAAATGAGAAGTGCATGAACCGCACTAGCCTTGAACTTGCAAAAAATATAATTACTCRGATTAACGCAACATCATAAACGTTCATCCTTGTCTGTTAGGCCAGGAGAAACCCTTGGGAGAAGTCTTGTTTCTGGAGAAAAGCCATGTCCCTCCACTCCTCCTTCACGCCGGCCCTGCGTGGTCACGGGCAGAGGATAACGAATTGTGACTAAAACTGCCTGGAGATGAATCCGTCTGAGAGAGACGGAAAGTGTGTCATGCAACGTTACTTTGGGAGAGATAATTAATACTGCACAAACAATCACTGGAAAAGCTAAACACATTATTTGAATGTTTTGAAGTAAATGGTAAAAGACAATGTTTAAATTAATTATTAATTAAAAATGAATGTTGCCATCTTTAAAGATTTTTTTTTCAAAGCACTTTGTGCACTGATTTAAAATGCTGCGATATCAAAGTATCCAGAGCCTCAGATTCCTTCGTGCCCCCTCCCCTCTGACAACACATTATGCAGGTGGGAAACTTTTTTGCCATTAAATGCTAATTAGTTTCACAACTAATTACTACCGTGGTATTAGGTTAATGTTTTTTCTACTTTTTGATTTAGACTTACTTTTGTAAATCCCTTATTCAAATTACTTTGAAGTGAAAGACTACAAATTAGTTCTCCTTTTAATGTGTAATGCGAGCCCTGGCGAGCCAGTCAGTAATTTTACAGGCTGTTTTAAGGAGCAGAGGGGGGCAGACGGGCAGCACGGTCCCTTGCAGGTACCCAACCGCTCTGCTGAGCTTTTGGGAACGCCAGGACTTGTAAATCCCGGTTCCCTCACCAGCTGCCAGTTACCCGGCGTGGATGGGAGGGGAGAGGGCAGTTTATGGCTTCGCAAACTCGCTCTGTCACCCCATAAATACCGCACACACCCATCGGGGCATCACACCCTTCCTGCCTTACCCTTTCCTGYGCCCGCTCGCTGCCCGGGTGCCGCTCACGTTGAGCGGGGCTGGCGAGCCCCCGTCACTTCGCGTGGTTATAGGCRCGCTCATTACAGCGCCGTCTGTTGCTGTAATGCCCCCATTAATTCTCCTTTTGATATTTTAAGAGCAATCTATAAATCACRCAGACCTTCGYGTWAATGCTTAGCAAGACCGTTTTGTGTTGAGTGGTTATTTTTGGACGCGCCAAACAAGCCCATTTTCCTGCTCAGCCCCACGGGCTGTGCCCATCATGTAGACCAAAGGCAAGAGAGAAGCCACATTTTTTCTCCAAGAAACCTGCTTGCCTGACAGGTTTTGCAAGGCTTGAAGAAGAGAATTGTGAAAAAGTGAACGATCTGATAGCCCTGTACAATTCTTGGATAGGATTGAGCTGATCAGTTCTGTGCGAAAATGGGTAAATTTGCACTTTGATGTTCTAATCACCCTACGTCTACACCTATATGGAGAGAGTTGTCTGCTCTTGCTGCTCTGTCCATAAMGCTCAGGAAGGAGCCAGGAGTCCCCAGAGTCACCTGAGAGCAGGTGGCAGGACAAGACCCAGGGCCAGCGTGCGCCCCTGCTGTACTTACATCGCTTGCATAGGGGAACGTCCTGGACTGCTGTCACTCCCGTTACTGTTCGTATGCTCCATTGCACCGTTGAGCTCTTCCCTCATGGCACTGGCTAAATTGCCCAGAGTGGGATTTCCCATGGAAGCAGTAGTGTATAGAGGTATACTGTTCTCAGCCATTGAAGCCTGCCAAGGACACAAAYAAATCCGTGAAGAGCAATGATTAACATTTTTACACACTGCACAACACAATCACTTGTTCCAAAACATCCTCTGCATTTACATTATTTGMAGTTACAGGTTTTTTTAAATACTATACTTTCTGATATGTATTACCCTGGTTCCATCAAGGGAAATTTAACATCATTTAGATCTGGGTTTAAGGATTCATAGGTGTATTGGCTTATAAGAGGATGGAGCTTTCCATTCCCTATTTGGAATTACACYCCCTGGAAAAAAGAAAATGTCCTTTCCCTATTTTTGCTTCATGAAATTATGTTTGGGGCTTTGGGGTATTTTTTGTGGCTTAGGTTTGGGCTTTGTTTTTAATGAAATGGGGAAAAAAACTGGCACTGGCTCAGCTGATAACTCCTTCCCACCGGAGCGAGCAGACACCAAGCAGTAGCGCAGCATCCCTGAGTTTGGTTTTCCTTGGGAAACGTGTGAGGCTGCCATCAGCGCTAAAGGGATCAGAGTTGCACCGATCTGCCTGAGAGCTGAACCTGTCCATGTGAAATTTTTTAAACCTCACCAACTCAAGTCTTACCTTAGCTATTGACTGGTTTATTTTGACTTTACCCTTGTTCTAAGGAAACACCGTGCAGAGGCACACTGGAGTTAACTTACTAAATGGAAATCTTTGTAGGAAGAGAATGAACTGTTAAATATTTTCCTTCTGATTCCCACCGTTCTGCCTGCTAATATTTACTGTGTGTCAGCATTAGCTCATGTTGACAGCACAGTCCGGCCCAGAAGCAGTGGGAACGCAGAAACCCTGAGCCCCAGAGGAGCCCAGTGTTTGGTGGGGACCGAAGGCACTGGAACAGGAGGCACAGGGATGGGAGGCACAGCTTTCTGAGGCTGCAGCACCCAGGGACTGGAAGGACATTTAACAATTTCACCCATCCCAGCTGGATGTGGCTGACATCATCCGTGGCTCTCCGAGCCGTGTCAGCGCCGGGCAGCCACAGACGCTGGCTCGGCACAGCTCGACCTGCTTGGGGAGAGGTCAGCTGGCTGCAGTGGCCAWGCTAAAAAATCCATCAGGCTGTGTCTGCATGATGCAAACCCAGCCTGTGGGAGGGCAATCCATGCAAACACCCCCCACCAGCACGCTCGCCTGCTCCTGACTTGCAGGACAGAACTCCTTGCTCACTGCCGAGCCGGCAGCTCTTCCCAGGCAAGCACAGCCAGAGACAGGCTGAGGGAGATRGGATGGGATGGAATGGGAAGGGAGGGCAGGACCAGCCTTCGCTGCAGCATCTTCAGGAGCACGGCCCCTTTCATTCTTCCTTGTGCTGACCTCTCCATGTGCAGCCCTATGTGTCRCACGTGATCACAAAAGCTATTCTAACGGGGAGGATTATTTTTATCTTCTTGATTCAACAACCGGCAAACTCATTGTGATTAGGGGATGCAAAGAACGGTTCACATTTCCTGCACTTGGCAAAATAATGACTCAAGTTCTTCACCCACAGTGATAACTTGTAATTGCAGTAAAGCAATTTACTGGGGGAGAGGTGGGATACAAGGAGTATCTGCTACGAAGGCCGTAATAGGGGAGGGGGTGTTTTGGGAACCCCTGCTGACCCACTGGGAAAAGAGAGAATTGGTGAGAGCTGGAGTCCCCRTACCTTCCACAGACAGAGGGGGGAGAGAGCTGCTTCTTCTCCCTGGCCACGAGGGAAAACAGACAGAGGAGACGTCAGAGGGGTCTGGGTGAAGGAGAGGGGCAGCCCTGCCACCCCACASGAAAAGAAAGCACAGCCTGCCCTGCTGATGGCACACAGCCCCTGAGGAACTCATGGGGATGGGCAAGGAACAGGCCTTCCCAGAGCCCACAGCAACTGGGGGAACACTGTCCATTAATTATTAATTAGACTGAACGTAGGCCCTGGCAGGTAAGGCACCTTGTCTCCTAGAGGAATTTAATGCCCACGCAAGATCCGAACTGACCACACGGCAGTGGCCACTCGCATTGTTTGCCCAGACCCTCCACTGCCCCAGAGAACCCACTGGGATTTCTCCTCCAAAATCCAGTGGTGGGAAGAGAAATGGGAACCTGCTGGTGTATTTTCACCCTAAAAGAGGACCTGCCTCAGTGCAGTGATTATTATTCACCCCCATTTATTAAGAGGGTGCACAGTGGTATCAAATCTTGCCCAGGCTCCTCTCTCCACAGCACTTGATGCTATGGGAGGCACGGGGATGTGGCTCTCCCAAAAAAAGGGAAGGGAAACAGTTTGGAGGGTATCAGGAAAGACAAGAATGGATGGAGATGACGACAACGACACGTGTTTCAGAAATAAAACACGAACAGTTCCATATGATAAGCATATTAATTGAAATTAGTCACATAGTTAACAATGTGAAGAAATGCAGGATCATTTCATTTTTGCCTTTCAGCCTCATGAATGTAAAATGTGCTTGTAATCTTAATACTATTCAGGAGACAAAGCAGTCTTTAAAAATCACACTTCACAAGACTCAAGGGAAAATAAGTTACTAATGAATGGTATTTACAGTTGCTTCATTTAAACATGCTTTCCCAGGCTTTGCAGGAGTTACTGCACAAACTGAAAAGATTAGAAGAAAGGCAAAATATCATTTTCCTCCTAATAATTTGTTTCTTAGCTCTGAAAAGAGAAGTCTGTTAAACATTCCACAAAACATGACTGCCCAAACACATACCCATGGCCATCAGTGAACTTCGGGAGAAGTGACCCCCAAGAACCAAAGACAGGGTTGCCTCCTAGATTAATTCACAATATATAAACCACATACAAACACACAGACCCCACTGCAAATCCAGGGCATGGCAATGCATCTGTATCTGTGTTTTATATAGCAAATACTACCTTCACCTAGGGTTTTTGAGACGGACTCAGCAATTTGTTGAAAGGAGAAAAAAGGCACAGGAAAAAGAGCTGGAGATATGGACATTTTTTAGGCTGCAAGTTATTAATTCTGCACCCAYACTTTGTGTATTTATGCATCGTGAAAAAACGCAATTTTTGTCTTACGATTACAGTTTAAACCAATAAAAATGATCTTTTATTTTCTATAGAAATTGCGCCGTTTATTTTTTACCAACAATAGGAAGATATGCAAAAATAGCCCTTAAAAGAAAAGGGGGAAAAATGATCTGCTTTCTCTTTAAAGCCATGAACAATAGAAGGTCACGTGCCGCAGTATCCTATCATTCAGCACATTAATAGCTGTGCTAGAGTAATTACACTTGTGGTATTTTTGCCTCAAGTGAAATTCTGAAATAAGAGGATGGAAATTATGATACTGCTGATAAATATTAATAAGTGAACTTTTAATTTTTTTGCCACAATATTCAAAATGCTAAGCATCTAGCTAATGCTGAAGCAGCCTGATATGTGTTTGCCTCCAGGGACTATGATGCTTTATGCACTTAAGAAAAAAGTTTAACGGAATTAAAATTTAATATCTAATTAGAGCAAGGCTAATATATTTTGAAATGAGTGGGGAAGACACACGCCTCTGTTGCATATTTGCTACAGTCATTAATCTTACCTGTAAAGCAGCATTGAGAGGTGTGCAGTAGGTGTGGCTGGTCTGTATGTTTTTAATAAGAGAAGGGTTACTGCATAAGAAAAACATAAAAAGGAGAGTTAAATGAACTTCTGTGCRAGCGTTTCAAGCACGTAATGCTTCCTCCCCCACCAGAAAACTAGGGCTGAGACTGGTTTTCCACATGAGCTCTCTTTTTTTTTTTTTTTAAATTTAAAGAAAATATCTGAGTTTATTTGCCTTTACTAAATAAGGAACATCATTATCTCTCGACGTTACCTCGCCATGTGTTCTACTACCCTGCGTTAGTGGCACGTCTTGGCATCTCTGCTCATTTTAGCTGCGTTCAGGAGAAATTCTCCAATTTTCGTCGTGCCTGGGAGCCYGTTACCAGGTAAAGGTCCATCGTGAGGAGGCAGGGATCAAAAACACCAYGGGACATTTTAAACTCTGCTTCATCCAAATGACTCTCCAGGTCGCTGGCAGCGGAGTCGCTCCCAATGGAGGGGGGACCACAGTGAGAGAGRATTTATTTGATCCACGTTATCTCCTGCCATGCCAACCAGGGGCTGCCCACACCATTGCCCCAAGCGGCCTGTGGGCATGGAGGCACAAGGGCAGGAGGCCCACACAAACCACCACACTGCCCTGAAGGCCCTTCTTAATAAAAAATATCCTGGTGTGCTGTTTTGGATCCTTATTTTTGYCAACTTTACATAAGGGGCCAGATCAGAGGATAAGGAATGGGGAGCAAAAGCTCTCTCTCTTTASGAGGCATCCCAACATCACTGGYTCCATCAGAGGAGAAAAAAAAAATTAAAAMTCATTAAATARGAAGTAGRTAAAAAAWTGCCCATGTGAAGTAYCTCCCAGAAGTTTTATCWCTCACTGGGCATGTTTTTATTTTAATTTTATTCATGTGACAATAAATCATGGTGAGCAGAGTCTTAACTGAGCCCCTTGCACAGGGACCAGCAAGGATCAGTTGCCCAGGAGAAATGGCCTTCAAGTAATGGTCAAAGAAAATCACTTTAGGAAGCCCAGGAATATTGGTGCATGGGTGTTGCAGGCACACAATGGCCTGCTGATAATCTTTACAGCTGGTCTCAGTGCATTTTCAAACTCTTTTAAAGTGAATTCAGCATTTCTGTCTTGTGAGTACCTTTCTTTTTCTGATTAGGAATTGCAAGACAAAGCATACAATCAAAAGCAAAGGAAAATATCAGAATTAAAACTTATCTGAAGCCTTTCCTGGCATATATCTGTCTTCCTGACACGTCTACAGCAGCATATCTGTGCTAGCGTGGATAATTATCTTAGTCTACATTGCTCTATAAATAAATGCTTTAACAAACATGTCAGAGTAGAGTTATTACTACACGCATTTGGATTATCAGAGTAGGACACACAAAATACACATAACAACCAAAAATTTAGTTTCTTTAGCAGCAAAGGTGATGTCACTATTTTGTGAAATGCAAGTCTACATGAGATGGGTAAATCATGCAAAGCAAAGCAACAGCAGAAAAAAAAATTAAAGCAAGTAAAAGCTCTTACTGTGCAACAAGCTCGCCAAAGTTTTCATCAGGGCAGTATTTTCGAGGACGGCCTCGTTGAATATGACGGCCACGTTTAAACTCTTCATCATCAACAGTCCAAAAGGACCCAAACTCATCCTCTACTCTGATAAAGCACTTATGCAGTGAGAGGTTGGTGCGAATGGCACCCTGGGACAAGAGCAGCAGCAAAGGAGATGAAGTGGAAACAAAGGGACACGGGATCGGGGACAGAACAGACATCAAATACAGGGAAAAGGAAAAAGAAAATAAAATGCAATAAGCATAAGCAAATGGTTTGTGAGGGTTAATATGCATTGCCACCTAAAAGCTACTAGCATGTGATGCAACAAACACCAAGCAAGCAGGGTCAGGGTACTGGTGGGCATACAAACAGTAGTGATGAGATGTTTGTCTTGGTTTCCCTTAACTGAGACAATGCGAAACCACCTGTGGTAGGTCTAACACCAGCTAGCAGCCAAAAGCCTCTACGTTAAACTGTAAGCATGATCCGAGCTAGGCTAAGAAGTTCAAACATGGTGGACATACCCACTGATCTTTTGTGGCCTTCGTTTTTGGAACTCTAGTTCATCCACTGTCCATACTGCCCCTTTAACGTTTTCTACTCGCACAAAACACTTGTGAAGACTAAGATTATGACGCACTGCATTCTGCAGCAAGTATAAAAGAGAAAACATTCAAAAACCTTCCATGAGAAAATGCTCATCATTGTCCAAGAACAGCAGCAGCACAGTCAGCTTGACAGTTCTCATTTTGCAATGTTAAGCCCCTTCCCCTCCCCGCACCCGCTTGCCTTCCCCAGCTCTTTACATCTTATTTTGCAAAGACAAAATAAATACGAAAGCTTAAACCCGAGATTAAAAATTCACGTTATTCTTATCAATTATCCCCAGCGTGGCTGAGAACAGACACTATWTTAAGCATGCATGTTGTAGAATACAGCACATTTCATACAGAACACAAGAGCAACATTGCTTATACTTTTTCAAAACAAATATATACGCTCTGTAAAAAGAAATATCTCCCCTCCTGGAAAAGAAAGCRGTTAGAAGGAACAGAAAAGATTTCATGTAAGTGCAGATGACTGGATTTAGCAGCAAGGCACTGGAGCTGGTGCTGCTGTGGTTTCCCCACAGCTGGGGTAATATGATTCAGGTGCTGGACCTCCCTCCACACCCACAGCTCGGGCCGGGGGCTCGGCAGCACCCCACCGGCCGGCCGGCACCGACGCCTGCCTCCACGGCTTGCTCTTATATGGAAGTTGGCTCCTATTTCTGGCAGACTACTGTAGTGACTGATCTGWGCCTCTGCCAAGTGAAAACATGAGGAGGGCTCTCTGGAACAAAGTGATAATATCCCCACAGCTCATCACCCAGAGGGACCTGTGCTCATGGCAGCCGATGCCCCATGTCCACCCRCAGCTCAGTGCTGGGAAGGATGAGCAAGGCCAACCCCTCCGATGTCCTGAGACATGAGGAGACAYCTCACTGAGGCATGGCAAGCTGGTGGCTGTTCTGTCCCTGCTTCCTCTGAGAGCTGAGAGCCTTGCTATCCCTCAAATGGAGCACTATGCTTCTTCTCTATTTCAGGACTTTTTTGTGTAATACCCTGCAACAACTACTGAACCCAGCAGTCTTAAAGGTTTTTTCCAGCCTAAATGGCTCTATGAGTCTACAAAGCCATTGCTCATGGAATTTGTAGGAATTTATACATGGAGCKTGTTCCCAGCACTGCTGAAAGGGGCTTGGGAAACAGGGGAAACAGAAGAAGCCATTTGCTGAAAATCTGCAGGCGAACAAACTCCATCCTCACTGGCACCATTGATTCAGTCAATCTGGTTGACTCGTTAGCAGGCACAAAGCCAGCCAAACACATGGCCTGGGTCTAGGCAACCAGGAGACGACATTTTTTTTTTCCTTCCGACATCATCCTCTTTTTTTTTTTTTTTTTTTATGAATATGGGGTCTGGATGGCAAAGGGAGCTCTAATTGTGAATGTCTATGAATGTCTACATCACTGTGCAAACAAAGGGTAGCACAGAGCATTTGTCATGTAAATTAGGAGGCGGTGGTGTGTGTGTGTGTGCTGGGAGGGGAAGGCACAGAGTCTTCTGCTCCTTCTCCAATTCCCTGCCCAGTGCAATCCCCACACTCCCACTCCGGCAGGAGTGGAAGATTTGGGGTTTGAACTGCCTTTGCTTGARGGCAAACACATCTCTAGCTGGAGGTGTCTGATCCAGGCATTTCAGCTTTTCCACACTGATCTGCTTCTGAACTGGTGAAACAATAAACCCCCAATATGCTTTTMCTCTCAGCAAGGCAGGAAAATCTAGCAGAAAGTCAACCTGTCCATCAGGCCTGCTTCCTTCTGCCCTCGTTTTCTTCAGCTCTTATTTTTTAATGGGGTGTTTTTTTTCCCCTCCCACCTCTTCCAGATTTCGGTACTGTTGACATTTTTGGCAAAATCCCTGATTTTGAGGTGGAGGAAAAAYATGTAAACGCCCCACACCTCACGAGCTGGAATCAGCCAGCTCAGCAACTGCTGGTGGGTGCCGCACCAGCACAACCCGACACAGCGCTGCCGGCCCACATCTGGGTAACTCAGGCAGTTTCCTGTGAAAATGGGAACACTGTCAAGTCTGGAGCAAAATGTAAGAATAATAACACTATTTCCCCCAGTGAAAGCTGATCTTGTGGCTCATGCAGCAGTTGATCAAACGCACACGGCAAAGCCCGGCGAAGGGAGTCCTCAGAGTTTGTAAATAGTCTCTAAAGACTGGGTTGAGCAGGAATATTTGTGTTTTGCTTTAAATAAATTTAAAGCTGGAGAAATATTTTACAGACTGTTCTTGTTCTCTCAAAGTCCATGTGCAGCTGATGGTTGAGGCTGCAGGATTGGGCTCTTGCTGGATATGTTAAGACAGACAAGCTGAATATTTACAAGACATCCATGAAGTGTTGCTCTCATTTTCTATTTTCCAAGTGATCACTTATTTAAGGAGCTCATGCCAGAAAAAAATTGTTGTGCTTCCCCTGCCTCTGGATACTTGCTATCTAACAGTTTTATTTGAACAATACCCCAACGTGTCAGAGCCACACCTGCAGCCTGTGCCTCATGGCTGTGACTCAGTGCCAGCAAATTACTCCAAAAAATAAAAGCAAACAGACATTGCCTCTGACCTGTCAGAACCGGTTCACAGTGCTCCCTCAGCAATCAGCTTAACAGAAAAATTAGGAGCTATTATTGCAAGATTATATATTTACCTTGTTAAAAATATTTGTATGCAAGCCACTTTTGCAGAAAAATTACCCTGAACATGCTTRAATGTAGTAAATGAAAGGGTTTGTTATTTTAATAACTGCTCAGGCTCTGCCGTACTGCATTTTGGGAAAGAGGTTCATTTTTTAGAGGTCTTTATTCCTGCACTCTTCTGTGTTTTTGAAATAAGGCTCAGGGAAGCTTSGCCACACCAAAGCCTGACCCTAAACTTGGGGAACAGTGACCCAAATGCCCCCTAAGCATTAGCTGAAGGTGAGCACAAATCAGCACATATATATTCAAATTATTCTGATTCTGCAATTAGCCCCTTGCGCTCGTTCTGCGCCCCGTGGGCTTCCCATCATGCCAATCCAGAGCTGCATTTTCCTCCCTGCTGTTCCTGGGGGCTGGCAGAAATCTGAGTCTCCAGCACAAAAACCTGCACTACTCCAACCACTTGTCTGTTTTGCTGGTGCTGGTGAATCTGGGGGTGAAGTTTTTCTTTCCTGTTACATGAAGCAGGAGCTGGACACCTGCAGAAGGTCAAGGTGTACAAAGAGGGGACTCCAAATGGCACCTGCCTCCCTGGGACTCACAGTGCCCTTCTACAAGCCTGAGAATCTGCAGCTCAGCCTCTCTGCTCCTCTTTGTATCTGCACCAGCTTCTGGGATTGGATTTTATGGGATGCCAAAAGCTAATTCCCAAAACTCGCCTCACAGGAGATACAGCCAGGACTGCCTGCTGCCTTCTTCCACTCCTCCCTCCACTTCCCTTTGCTGCTGGAACTAAATAGGATTTTTACTTTAGCACCCACACCTGCAGCTGCTGCAAAGTCCTACTGGAACCACTCCAGCAGCAAAAGACAGGCAGGTCTAAAAGGATCTTAAATCAGGGAAAGTTAATTTCCTTTCTGGATAGTAAGGAAGCTGCAAAGTTAAACACTGCTCATGTTTTCCAACTGCAGGGAGGAATCAAAGCAGCAATCACATCACAGAAACTTTTCCTGAACTTAAGAGCTTCTAGACCAGGGTTGAAAATGTACAAAATTGTGCTGGGATCTGAATGAAACAAAAACCATGCCACTAAAAACCAAGCTAATTTCCAAAGACCATTTTTAGCTCCATCCGCTGAAGGAATTAATCCTAAATGCAGGCTGGGACAGGAAAAACAGAAAGAGTTGATGGAACAGCATGTATGGGACCTATTCACACAATTTGGTCATTTGAAGTTGAGAACAACAGAGCTGTCTGGATTAAGAGAGGCTCCAAGCACCAGCATACAGTTTTACAGCAATGCAACACCCTGTTATTYGGTTCATTCATTTGTGATTGCASTGGATTCAGAAGCCAATATGACCAYTAAAGTGCTAAATATAAGTGAAAGAGTAGCCCCCCAAAATATACAATAAAATTAACTCCCCACAGTTATTCTCTTATCTAACAATATCTGTGATAGTTATCAAAGGAAATTGAAGTGCTAAACCCCAAGTTTATTTCTGTTAAAGACATTTCTTATTGAGGAGCTTGTTTCTTGTGTATTAAATTCAATAAGCTTCTGCTGTGTGATTAAAAAAAAAAAAAAAAGAGAGGAAGTTTGTAACAGCTGTTAATGTAGTTAAGAGTCAATCGACTGAGGAAAGAAATCCACTGATCTATATAGATCCTAGGAAAAAAAATGGTGTTGTGATTACAACCTGCACAGCTTAAAAGACAAACAGTATATCTTCTACTGACATAAGAACTTTACCTCTTTTTTTTTTATTTTTCATTTTCTAATACGTTCCAGCTGAAGAGCCTGAGTTTCCCTGCTCGTAGCAACCACACAGAGGAACTCATGGCATAATCACAGAACATAAAAGCCAATAATGGGGATTCAATTAGTGGTTTTCAAAGGCAGAAGTATTTTTTTCTGCCAAATATCGAATTGTTCCTGCAGATAAGGCACCCAGCACACATCAAAACCGCCGATCTGAATTTCCCYGTYCCYGTGTCGGGACAATTTAARTCATCAGCAAGGTCTGTTCTGTACAWGGCAGAGAGCAAAAGCAAGAGGCGGGCTCAGCCTTACCTTCCACGTCGCCGCGTTGCGTCGGAAGTAGGCGAACATCCGCGTGAACCAGTTGTAGATTTCGTTTAGTGTTAGCTGTTTCTCGGGAGATTCCAGGATGGCCTTGTGGAGCAAAAGCGATTGCAAAGATCCATTATGAGCACACCGGTACAAAAAACACACTCACAGTTTTACTTTGCCAGATACAAAAAGGGAAAGAAAGGAAGAATGGAAAAAGAAGAGATTTGGAGCAAAAAATCCAAAGGAGGGTTTTCACAATATGAACTAAGATTAATGGCTGTATTTAACAGTTCAATGGCAAAATTCAAAATGGAATTATCTAATTGTTTTGAGTTTTTATTTCTGTTTCCTTACAGAAATATTAATTTATTAGTCATTCATAAAGCAGAATCAAAGAGAAATGCAAAACATTTCACTAGCTGATTAAAGCTCAGTAATTATTTAGAGCTCAGATTAATTCTAGGGATCAGAGATTACTGTAGCTTGTGATAATTGACTTGCCATCTTTAAACAGGCTCATTTTCACTGTTGTGTGAAATGAATTTCCTAATAATCACATCGTATTGTAATACTTAATCAAAAGCAATTATGTTATATATTGCAGTTCTAAAAACCCTTATAGTAAAGGTTTGAGCATTTGAGCACGCTTACATACCAAAGGTTTGAAAATCTATTTAATCCAGAGTGTGCACATATAGGGAGATACATTTTTTCCTAATCCAGACGCGTGCGTTTGGCTCAGCTTACCTGTCTAATTAAAGATGCATACGTGAATGGTGGTCTAACTTCTGCGTTCTTATAAAATTCTTGGTTCTGGGCAATATCTGCTAAATAAGAGCAGTTGTTCTGTTATCATCACAGCCTGACAGCACCGGGCCGAGGCGGGGGCTGTGCCAGCAGAACCCCTTTACCTGAAGAAATGGGGACGTTGTATTTATCCGAGTACCGCCTCCGGATGGGTCCGACGTTGTGCATGCTCGTGGTAGTGATGACCGACGGTCCCTGCGTGACGGGAGTGATGGGCGCAGTCGGGGTGGTGGGAGTATGAGGTAAACTCTGCGGAGACGCCTCGGACGCGGTCTTGGACAGCGTGACGCTCGATACCAGATTCAGCTGCGGGGGGAAGCACGAGGCTTTGGTTATAAACAGCATTTCTGCATGGTTAAGGGCTGCAGAGGAAACCCTCGACAGCAGAGCGTCCCTCAGCTCCGAGCAGACACTGCAGCTGCTGCAACATCTCCATCAGGAGCCAGCAAAGGGAAATAAATGTAATAAATACACATATACATTTCTAAAAGCTTTAAAAAMCAGAAAAAYATAGCCTGCTGCTGGAAGAACAAATCATGAATTTTTATCTAAACCTTGGAAGAAGATCTTGCCCRGTACATGATCATTTTAATATTTTACTTCAAGTTTCATTGTTTCACAGTCTAAACCCCACACCTCTCTGATTTCCATGMTATCATTATGCATGGCTTCTAATCAGTCTTCTTGGATATTTCACTGAAGGCATCAGGCTTAAAATAAAAGGCAAGACTTTCCAAGGGATGTGTGAGAGAGAAACGCAATCTCTCTCTTCAGCATTTGGGCTTTTCTTTTTTTTCTTTTTCTCCCCCTCTCCGTTCATCCATTTTAAAAGCAAAGCCCAGAGTAGGTTAACACTGGAATAATTTAATTAATCACAGTGCATGAAATACTGTGAGCATTCAGCCCAGCAGAAGTGGCACCACTCTGTTTTTCYTCCCAGGATGGAAGGCATTGGTGTTACCTGCACGAAGCCCGGCCCCGCTGCTGTGGCAGCGTGCCACGGCGGGCTGTAAAACACACCTGCCTCCAGGATTGGGTATCAAACCCAGCTCCAACCCGACTGTTTTCGATACACAACTCTATTTATACAACCAGCATCCACATTCCTCCCCAAGCCTTTCTTTTTGCCCTACAACGTCCTTTGAAAGATGACGCTCGGTCTCAATAGGTCGCTGCTGCTGAAGTATTTTAAACAAACAATCCAATCCCTAAACTACAACATCAGAGAGGACGACCGAGAAAAGGGCTCTTTGACTACTTCCACATTTATTTCCCTTAGGCGGTTTCACGAATAATATTGGTGAAATCTTGACCCCATTGAAGTCGGTAGCAAAATTCCTACTGAATTTAACAGGGCCAGAATTTTACAACTTTTGTTCGTGATTAAAATTCCTTTTTTGCTAGACATTAAACCTTCTGAGATGAAGGCAAGGCACACGACGCAGCTATGCCCCCAAATATCTCATGTTTATCCATAAGGCACTGTATTAATTTTCCTTGTATGAAAGTAACCAGATAAGAAAACTCCTATTAGCATCCTTCATACGAGTTAATAGGCACAAATAATGTTTCTTTTTAAAAATAATAGGATTTATCCCAAACAAAGGTAGTGGAAAATAAAGGGCTGTAGTTTTACAGAGAGGACACCACCACAAAAAGCCCACTGCCCACAGAAAGGGCTCAACTGAGGGAAGATAAATTGTGATTGTCCTTCCTGACAGCGAGAAGAAACTGAGGGAAGCCCCAGCTACAAACTCCTGGCACAGCGCAGATGCTGCTCCAAGGGGATGAGCAGCAGACGGGCAAACACCCACCTTTCCCTGCAGGTGCTTACAAATGGCTCCCCACCTTCCAGTGGGAAATATTTAACAATTTGTGGCAAAGCCAGGGAGTGTGACCCCAGAGAGGGAGGATAAAGGTGGTGAAATGCAGATATTGATCCCCACTGCAGCATCCCCACTACCAACAGTCTGGAGGTTCACACCCTCCTGGTGCCAAGCACTGCCACCACGTGCCACCCAGTCTGCTCCTTGACTGGCGTGATTTAAGGACACTGATTAGGGACATATATATAGTAATGTCTCCCTGTTATCCATCTATCCATCTATTACATATGATAAAAGGACCAGTGATGATAATAATAGTGCAACTGACAGGTCTCACCATGAAATTAAATCTACTGTATTTTATCTCAGTTTCTAAATGGACATTTTAACAGTCCAATAACTGTGAGGAAATCTGCATCAATTTTAAGTGCCCTTCTCAGCGCAGGCTCAGCAGCCGGGCCCTCCCGTCGGAAAGATCACTGCTCCTGCTTCATCATTACGGCTCCCAACTACTCCATTTCAAAAGAGTCCCCTTCCTTTTTCAGCATGTAAAAACTTAACATTTAATCTGTTTCTACTAGGGAACCTTGAGAAAGGATCCACAAAGGTCAGCGTTCCCTGCTTAAAGAATCTGAATCGAGTTAAATTTCTTTAGGCTTTTCAACGTAGGTAGCGACGAGGAATAAACACAGAAGAGGACGAGCAAAGGGGGGGGCTTTAACAGGCTTGACAAATGACACTGTGATTCACACCCACTGCTGGGCTGCCACTAATAAGCTACAGAGGAAGCAGCCAATCTCAGCTAATTACCAGATAAAATTGTATTGTAAGGACTCTAATTAGGAGATGCTTATGGAGGTGATCTAATGATTAAACGCTGCATCCAAGTGACCCCACCATCAATGTGCAGTGGTGCAAGATGTCACCGGAATATTTTGTAGAAACAGTAATTTTATTTCAAGGAGGGGAGGCAGTAATATTTGTAATAATGGCTATGAGGTAAACTAATTAAAAGACAGTTCCTAAAGGAAGACTGTGGCTTTGAGCAGCTGTGGCCGTTCCAAAACAAAGTGCCAAATCTCAACAGAGGAGCTGCAGTCAAGTGGAAAATTTCTGCCTGACCTCTGCTCTCGCTATTAATTTGCAGGAAACCTAATGACACATATACATATTCCCACAAAATTGTTCTAATTGCTAATTTGCCAAAGGAGCCCAGTTTCCAAATTAAACATGACTGCAGTCTGTGAGGAAAGAGAGAACAAAAAGCTGGAACGCAGCGAGTCTGCCGCGTTTCACCTCCGACGACCATTTGTGAGCCTGAACCAACAAGTTAATGAAACACGACCTTGTCCATCGCTAGCGAAGTTTTTCCGTTTTCCGTGTTTTATTTGATGACACTCTCCTCTTCCAGCTGGGTTCCCCAAGCCCGAGCCAGGGTGAGGGAGGAGAGGGTTGCGTTCCCTCCGCAGCCTTTCGCTGCCGCTTCCTTTGTTGCACCGATAGCGCCAAGGCTGAAAAATCGGTTGTGAATTAGAGCAGAATAACAAATTATGAATGGTGTTGGTTTTGTTGCCATCTTGAATTATTAATCTGAATGGTAAACTATTAAATCTTAATATTGGCGTCAATTAGGAAYGTGGAAGCGGCCGTGGATGATTGCGCAGGGCAAAGATCAGGGAGGGACTGGGCTGGGAGGGTTTCTTTTCCTGATGGAAACTCTACACGGTTTCTCCCTGTTTGCATTTGCTATTTAAAAACAAGTTACTATGATTAGAAAAGTTGTTCGTGTTGGTATTCTGTACACAGGCTGTTTCCCACATACCGTAATTTTTGGATGAGTATTGCTGCTGGCAGARGGGAGGGAGCCCAAGTCACAGAGTGAACACTTCAACGAGCAAGAACTCTTGCACTGCAGCAATGTAYAACATGGGCACTCCCTGAGTACACCCCTGCACCACGGAGTTATATGTTTCTGTAATGTTTGTCCTGGGAATGAATGGGGGGAGGGAGAATTTCCTCCAGCCTCAAAAAAAACCAAAAACACCAACCAATAACAAGAAAAAAGAAAAAACAACAGAAAAAACACCAAATCCCGTAACAGTTATAAGTCCTAAAATTCTGCAAATTCAATCACTGAACGTTGTTGATTGCTTTGTTCGGTTTTTGAGAATATTTCCTCATACTGTTTTGACTTGCTCATTCATGGCTGCCATAATTGGTTCAGAATTCAATATCCTGCTTAAGACTTTACTATTAACCTTCCAAGAAATAGTCATGTCTCCCTATTAAATGTGAAAACTGAGTCATTTGCTTTTTTTCTTTAGATATAAACAAGGCAGAAGTAAACCACTCCTTCACCCTGTAAAACAGATTTCCTGTTAGTGGCTCTCCCACTAGGGCTAAATCTGATTTCTTTCTGTGTAAATATTTTACATGACAATAGTGGCTGCACATAAAATAGCACTGTRACTCTTTTAAAAAGAAAGAATAAATGTATGTGTGTATTTGTTTCTAAGTGTCACAGTGAGGCCATAYACAGTGACTCCTCTGCAATGGGGGSTGCTGCTCTGGGCCCAGCTGGGRCTGAGGACTTATCAGGACTGAAGTATTTTGGGGAATAAACTCCTTTTCTTGACACTGAGGGTGAGAGAGAGAAAGTGAATACTGGGCCTAAAACTTTATTCAGTGCTCTTTCTCTCCCTGTTTCAGCCTGGACACATTAGTGTATTGGATGCAGAGCCTGGCAGGCAGCAATCACTTAGCAGGTGTTGTTATTGGCAGGAATACTAAGGAAACTGAAGCTGAGGAGTGAGACTTAATGAAAACCAGTATATAAAAACAGCTTTTGTTGTGTTTGAGAATCTSTCTTTATTGCTGCATATCGTTATTTTTTCAAACTATAAAGTATGGCTACAGCAGCTAAAATGCTCAGTCATTACCTCAACAGTTAAAAGACTTCTTTTTTTTTTTAATGCTTTGTTATTACAGTTGCTAAAAACAGTATTTCAAAACAATCATAACTGCTATGGTTATGGTAAAAAAATACATTAAAGAAGGGATATCTAACAGYGCATCTTGTTTAAAGTGCCAGAAGGGTCTTTAAAAGTTTTCTGTCKATTTTTAAAAGATGGTTATAGCACCTAGTATCAAGAATTGTTGGTTGATGCTTTTTCCTTCTCCTTCCCTTCCTATGAACTTCAACACAAGTTAATCCTCCCAGAAGAAAGCACATTTCCATTTGAACCTATTATGCTGATGGCTAGCATGGATGAAAACAGCCATGTCGGGGGGGTATCTTAATAGCAAAACCAGGATGACAGTTCCTGAGAAATCSCTGTTCCGGCTTTTGTGTTGTGGTTTTGTTTTTTTACCTTGAAAAAAAGTTCACCTCACCAAAACACGTCACAGCATATTCTGTCTTGTGGCTTTGTTCTCACTTTACTCAGGCCCCTCAGCCGCAACAAAACAACACGTGTAGCATGAAGGGGAACAACACTGCCTGCTCCAAGTGTTGAGCTCTGAGACAGCTCCATTTTCTTTTACAGTGCTGCCCTTGACTATTTTCATTGCTGGACGTTTTTAAAAGTAGTCCTAAACACTACCCCAGTTTCTGGGGTGTTCCCCC